CTAGCATATATATATATATATATCTTTCTTTCTGTCTTTCTTTCTTTCTTTCTTTCTTTCTTTATTTTGTGTATGTCTGCATGTATGTATATATGCATGTTCATATACATAGGTAGGTAGGTAGGTAGGTAGGTAGGTAGGTAGGTAGGTAGGTAGGTCGGTCGGTCGGTCGGTCGGTCGGTCGGTCGGTCGGTCGGTCGGTCGGTCGCTCGGTCGGTCGGTAGGTAGGTAGGTAGGTAGGTAGGTAGGTAGGGAGGTAGGTATACACATACAAACGTATGTATATGTGTATATATTTATATACAAATACAAAACCGTATATATTAATATATAAAAGATGCATATGTTTTATATATATATATATGTAAACATATATATTTTTATATACAATTTTTGGGTGTGTCTTTTCCGTACGCGCACATGCATACACAGCCGACGGCGGCCGGAAGCATGGAGTGCCCAAAGCCCGTGCCCCTGTGCGCTCACCCCAGCAGCACATACAGTAACCCTAAACCATAAACCCCCAACCCTAAACCCTAAACCCCGAAACCCTAAACCCCTAAACCCTAAACCCCCCAACCCTAAACCTCTCAGTTGTGAGTGCTGAAACCCCTAAACCCTAAACCCCTAAACCCCCAAACCCTAAACCTCTAATCCCTAAACCCCCAAACCCCTAAACCCTAAACCCCTAAACCCTAAACCCCCAACCGTAAACCCCGAAACCCTAAACCCTAAACCCCCAACCCTTAACCCCTAAACCCAATACCCTAAACCCTAACCCTAAGTCTAACTCCACACTGTCAAGATTGGCCACAGGCAGAATCCATGGAGACGATGGCTGAAGCTGCTGAGGCAAGAAGCTCCCAGGGGTCTAGACCGCCGTTTCTCAAAGCCGGTTTCCGGGTTTCACTGAAGGGTTTAGGGTTTAGGGTTTAGGGTTTAGGTTTCTGCATCGCCACAATTCGACTTTGAATTGGTTGCGAACTGCGTGGTAGCCCCCCGAAACACGAAATTGAAACCCTATACGGTTTAGGGTTTAGGGTTTAGGGTTTATACCCTACCTGGACACCCGGGAGAGCCTACTTTTAAGAAGATTTATATAAGGAAAAGTAGATTCTGGAACCCCAATGAGGTAGGTTCTTTAGTGTTCCAGCAAACCCTAAACACTATCGACCATTGCCCTATACCCTAAACATATCAGCTCAGAACAGAAGTTTTCGATAGGGTTTAGAGTTTAGGAGGCAAAAAGCCCTAAACTCTGCAGTGCTACACCCTTGCAACCATTGCCATTCTGAGTTGGTACCCTAAACCCTAAACCCTAAACCCTAGACCCTAAACCCTAAACCCTAAACCCTAAACCGTACAGCATGTCGGGAGGGGCCATGGCTCAGTCCATGTGGACATGCCCACATACCTTCCCCAGTGAGCTCAGGGTTTTGGATGTGGGTTTCGTGTTTTTTGTGTTTTAGGGTATTGGTTTTGAACCCTAAACCCTAAACCTAAACCCTAAACCCTAAATTTGGTGATTTTGATTTAGGGTTTCTAAACCGGCCTGGGCTTCTCTAGCGTGACGGAATTGTGCGGAGCCTTGCCTTGTGCGAGAGTGAGAGTCGACACCCTAAACCGAAAGCCCTTTTCTAGCCTGGCTTAGCATTGCAAATCAAAACCCCAACTCCCCCAAAACCCCAAGTCCCCCCCCCCCCCAAAAAAAAACCAAACCCTAAGCCCTAAATTGAAAACCCTTTTCCAGCCTGGCTTAGCATTGCAGGTCGACCTGGCAGAGCCCACCCTTTTGGAGCCTGAAGGCCCCCCCCGGGGCAGATTTCGGACTTGATCCAATGTCTCGTTTGGGATTTCGGAGGCGGATGTAGGGTTTAGGGTTAGGGTCTAGAACTCAGAATTTGGGATTGAGAGTCTTATGCTTCATATCTTGTATTGTAAAGCGATAAGGAGTAAACAAAAACGATAACGAAGTTTGGGGATACAGGATTCATAGCGGGGTGTTTAAACAACGCCAACTGCCGCTTGTCTGCCTGCAGGAGCCACGGAAGTGCACACGTCGCCCAAGTCCCACGCAGAGCCGGCGGACGATGCAGGCCCACCATTCGCGTGCGTTTCGGGCTTTTGGGTTGGGGGGTGGTGGCAGCTACTTGGGATGATGGGGTAGCTTCGCTGAGCCGTGTGAGCCGCACAGATTGAGTGCAACCTTGATACTCGACATAGGGTTTGAGGGCACTGAACCCCCCAAGCCCGGAACCTCATGTCCAAGCCAAGATGTCGTGTCAGCACATGCACTAGGCGCCATGGAAGTGGAGGCGCCACCAGAATCTCACACAGAGCCGGTGGACGACGCAGGCCCAACATTTGTGTCGGGTTCGGGTTTCAATGTAGAGTGAGTTGCTTGCGGGTTGGGCTGGCTTGCCCGAGTATGACATGTGTTTCATGTCTGTCATATCAACTCTTGATATATGTAACTCTATGTCATGTATCTCTGTATCTGCATCTGCATGTGGATTTGTATTTATGTTATCTGCATGGTTTCTTATGCGCGGGCAAGTAGGTTCGATGTGGTTCGATATCTAGTTCCTTGTTTAGGACCTTGGGGTCCAATGGGGTTTGTGCTTTAGGAGTCTGTGGGGTTTCCCACAGACCGTGTACCTTGAACCCTAAACCCCAATCTTAGCGCTATGTTCAACCGTTTGTCTCATTACGGAAGACAGCCCGCAGCCTCCAGGAGCCACGGAAGTGCAGACGTCCCCCAAGTCTCACGCAGAGCCGGTGGACGATGCAGGCCCACCATTCGCGTGCATTTCGGGCTTTTGGGTTGGGGGGTGTGGTGGCAGCTGCTTGGCATATTGTGGGGTGGCTTCACAGAGCCGTGTGTAGATGCATGCACGTTTTATTCATGTATGTAGTTTGTTCATTGCTTTCGTTCATCCATGTATTTACATGTTTATATAGACTCATGGTGACGTTATATATATATATATATATATAGCTATCACCTGCTTTCAGCATGTAGCCGCACAGACTGAGTGCAACCTCGATACTCGACATAGGGTGTGAGGGCACTGAACCCCCCAAACCTGGAACCTCATGTCCAAGCCTAGATGCCGTCCCATCGCATCCTCTAGGCGGCATGGAGGTGGAGGCGCCACCAGAATCTCACACAGAGCCGGTGGACGACGCAGGCGCAACATTTGTGTTGGGTTCGGGCTTCACCTTAAGGCTGTGGGGGAGAATTGCTTGCAGGTTGGGCTGGCTTCCCTGAGTATGTGCGTTTATGTACATTTATACGTATAGCTTTTTCTATATCTATGCCTGTCCGTTCAATAACTTTTGATATACGTAACTCCATTATATGTAATTATCTCGGCATTTGTATCTGTATGTGGTCTGCATCTATGCTTTCTGCATGGTTTCTCATGCGCAGCCAGGTAAATTCGGTATGATTCGTTATCCGTTTGCGTGTTTAGGCCCTTGGAGTCCAAGGGTTTTGTGCTTTAGGATTTTAAAGCGTTTCCCACAGACCGTGTACCTTGAACCCTAAACCCCAATCCCAAGCCAGAAGTTCAATCCAAAACTGCGGTTTGTCTCATTACGGAAGATAGCCCACCTAAACCCTGAACCCTAAACCCTAAACCCTAAAACCCTAAAACCCTAAACCCTAAAGCCCTAAACCCGCAGCCTCCAGGAGCCACGGAAGTGCAGACCTCCCCGAAGTCTCACACAGAGCCGGTGGACGATGCAGGCCCACCATTCGTGTGGGTTGCGGGCTTTTGGGCTGGGTTGCGGTTGTTCAACCGCATGTGGATGTTTGGAATGTTTGTTGGCATTGGCTCGCGACTAGCTAATGGTGGCCTGGTTTTAATCCTGCTTGCCGTACGGCATGTAGCAGTAGCACATCGACGAAGTGCAATCTGGATAGGTTCAGCGGGTTTGGGCTTTGGTGCTTTCTCACTGACCCTGAACCCTAATCCCTGGACCCATATCCAAGCCAATTGTGGGCTCATCAACGCCTCCAGGATCCATGGAAGTGGAGATGCCGCGGGGATCTCACACCGAGCACGTGAAGAGCGCAGGCCCGGGTTTGCCTAGCCTTCAGACCAGATATTGGCGCCCGGAGTTTCTTGACCCACTTGTGCGGATCACACCCTGATACTCTGTACGGGAGTCTCACAGACCCGCAACCTAAACCCCATGTCCAAGCCAAATTGGGGTCTCATCACCAAGAACTCAGAACTGCCTTCAGGAGCCACCGCAGTGCAGACCGCACCGGAGTCTTGCACAGAGCAGTTGCAGGGCGCAGGCCCACCATCTCTTGAATTGTTTGGAGCCCTAAACCCAAAACCCTAGACCATAAACCCTAAAGGCCCTAAACCCAGTTTGGAGGCTCTTCAATCAAGGCATGTGGAGCCTGGCCTGCCAAAACCATCTGCACCGGTGGATTCTCTCAAGTGCACTTCAGGCTCGAGAGCAAACACCAGGCCCGACTAATCTTTCAATGTATTGCCCTAAGACTCCCCAAAGTAGGTAGTATTTGTATACTTGGAGTCTTAGGGTTGCGTGATGAACTGACATTGGTGCTTTTGAAACGTCTATGCGTGGGGGGCACTGTGGTCGTGCACAGGGCAATGTAGCTGTGCTGGGCACGGGCTGAACATACACTCCACCTGCACCGAATGAAATTTAATTCAAGCCACAAGAACCCTAGCAAGAATAGCAAGAAGAGGAATAGTAATGCCAACACAGCACCAAACACAATGACAGCAAAATGCGAAGACACGATGAAACGCCGGCCATCGGAGAAGATCGATGAAGGAGGGCTGCAAAACACGCAGTTGCAGAAGGTGGACACATCCGTTTCGGTTTAGGGTTTAGGGTTTAGGGTTTAGCTGTGAAGCAAGGGGAAGGCAGCTTCAGCTGCCTGAGCAGAAGAGACGATATCATTATCATTCTCTTCCTGTCATGGCCCATGTGTTGTGTAGTCCTAATGCCAGAACAACCTCACCTGAAGCCGCTTCACCCCTCCGTGCAGATGCTGCCGAAGAAAGTGCGAAGGCAGACGTCTGAGCATCCTGCCTGAGAACTGGTCGCATTGATGAGTGTCACCTAAGGGTCACCCTGCGAGCTACGCTGTGGAACCTAAGACTCTAAACCAAACCCCCAAACCCCAAGCCTGAATCGTAGCGCTCCAAGCTAGTACATTGCATGCCACTACCGCCAGTCTTGTGTCATAGCAAGTGTCTCCCTAAACAACATGAGGATGCAGGAAAAGATTTCCGGATGTGCCATCACGGTAGACAGACGGCTCTCTCCACGTGAAGGCCAAATTTCTTGCACCAGTTCCGGGTGGGAAACAACTCCTTAGGAGAACTTTTCACAGTTGCGTGTTCTCGTTGACACATGCCGAACCCCTAAACCCTCAGCCCTAAACCCTAAACCTGGAACATAAAGCTCACTGCCACCAAGCCTAAACTGTTCCTTTCGACATGCACTTTAGCCTGGGCCCTGGGTATACCTACAGCCATACTTGGATGTATGTAAGCATCTATGTGCGTGAATATTTGTGCATTGCTTTGAAGTCGCACGTGTACTTACATTCACCCTTATATGTGTTAGACATGGATTTGGGTTGGGGCACTTGTATGCATCTTACTCCCGCCACAGTCCCTGTCAGTGAATCATCGAAAACATAAACCCTTCTTGGCTTCTGGGCGACAGTTTCAGAACCGTATGTCCAGACGAGAGCAACCCCATTGCAGAGGTCTGACTAATGAGTAATCGTCATAGTGTACCCCGCGGTATACCGTATATAGCTACTAGCAGCTACTAAACTAAACCACTAAACTGCAAACAGCCCTGCTATTCCAACTTCTAAGGCCCGTGCATTAAGCCGCTACAGGCCTTCTGCCCCTGATCTGCAAAATCCTGGGTCCCTCAGCTGTAAGCTTTTATTGAACGCTACGAGCCACTGCGAGTCTTCCGGAATCCTATATGGTTTTCAAAAAGAGTCACTACCACGTCGCTACAAGATGATCTGGGCCTTTGGTAAGCTCCGAGATTGGAAAGTTTTCCCCTAGTGAAGCCTAGAGCCCTCATGGGGTTGAGGCTTTGAGTTTGCAATGTTTTTGTTGTTGGTTTCGTGGTTCTGGCCTTTGAGATTAGGGTTGAGCGTTGACGGTGTAAGCCTTGGAAGAAGAAGTTTTCAATCTTAATACCTAAACCTAAACCCTGAGCCCATCTGCCCTGAATGACACCGGGACACGCTGCACTGCCCTTGCGCAGTGCTTGGGGAGGGGAGCTCGACCGACAGGGTGTCCACCGGTCGTGAAGCAACGCCAGAAAAAGGGGGAGGGGCTCACGACGTTCGAGCCTCGTACATCAGGAACTGAGGGTTTGGAATGTGGGAGTTTACGGCTTTAGGATTTCGAGGGACTTTATCATCGTTAAGGAATTTTCTGATCAATTCTAGTATAGGGATCATTCAGCAGGTAAAGAAATCTGATCCTGCAAATCGCGCAAAGCATTGTTTACAGCAGATCTTTGCAAGCATCCCCATGAGCTTCCAGGACAGAAACCCTACTTACTTGGAGGATCAGGCGGCTCCGTAAACAAGGCTTCAGGCAAACTTCGGGTTACTAGTGCTTATACCAACTACGTGGTCATGGGTGCAAGTACCCTACGTGATCATGGGTACATTGCGTACGTATGACCTGCTCAGCAAGTACCCTCATCCTTCAAGTGGGTTAGTTGGACCATCAAGAAAAGCCACCGAAGTCACAGCAGCCTGAAGCCCCGTGTTTCTCAGCTTCTGTCCTTTCAAAGGATTTGGTGTTCGAGGCTCGGGGATTAAGAGTTTAGGGCGCAGGTTTTATGAGGTTGCGAGTAAAGCCCTGACTTGACTTCCCCGAAAGACAACGGATCGACTGTTGCCATCAATATTCGGATTCAGCGGTCAGGTCTTGGTAATAGTCAACCATATCTTTGTGATGGTGGGACATACCACTCGGTAGCCACAATGCTCCCAGCATGACATTCCGCGTCAGGTTGTTCACATGATGTCTGAATCGCGTGCTTTAAGCATTCGGGCTTCGAGGTTAGATTTGGGTTTAAACTTTCGATTCTCTGTCAGGCGTTGCATTCCCTGTGTAGGATTTCGTGGCTCGACCATGTCGGATGAGTGTTTTGCGCATGCTACCGGCTCGGGCAGGGGGGACGGGGGCGCGTGCGCAAAGGGGGGAGCCCAATCAACTGGCACAGCAGGTCATATCCCTAAGACTCCAAATAGCCCAAAGTAGGTAATTTTATGGACTTTAGACCCCAAAGTAGTTGGTATTTGTATACTTGGAGTCTTAGGGTATGTGCACCCTTGAGAGGGCTTGTCCGACCTTCAGTGCGTTTTCGGGCCGTTCCTGGCTGTAGTATTCAAAGACAGGTGGAGTACATGGGTAATGCTCTAAACTAGGACCCCTTTTAGGGTCCTTTTAAATAATCGTGCCGTACTATTTGGGGACAAGAAGGGACCCTAGTTTAGAGAACTATCCGCTGATTGTTCTGGCGATCTTACCCTAAAGCCCAAAGCCTCCTCTATCTGAGGTTTAAAAGCCAGTGACAGAGCCTGAAACCCCGAGCACTCCCCAGCGCTTGCGCCATTCCGCGCCCGCACTTTGCCATGCTGCCTGACAGCCCCAAAGCAGAGGCTGGAATTCTCCGGGCAGGGTATGCGGGGTTTGACCGGCTTTTTAAAGAGTTTGTGGGTTTGGATATGGAATTTAAACTTGGGTAAGGCAGTAATGTAGAAGGGTCAGGAATTTGGGTGCGGTACGGACGTATGCAGTTTTTAATTAAGGGTTAGAGTTGAGCGTAGCGGCTTAAGGAGTCTGTATGTAGGACCTACGCTGGAGTTTAGAGCCGAAGGCCTTGGGACACAGGTTCGGCAAAAGAAGCGACGCCGGGTTTGGGGTTATAGGGCTTTCGGTTCAGGGTTTAGGGCTTAGGGTACTTGGAGGATCATGGGACTTAGTAAGTAAGGTTATAAGTCCCCTAATTGGGGTTGTAAGTATAGTTACCGTAGTTAAAACCCTATTACTAAGTCCCATGATCCTTCAAGTAAGTGTAGGGTGTAGGGCCAGAACCTCAACCCCAAGTCCTCAACCATCAACCCACGAATCCTGAGCTTTGGATACACCCGCAAACATCCCCAGCGCCAAAAGAGTTCAACAGACGATGTGCTCCGAAACCCAAAGGCTCCATGCACCCATATAGTAGATACTTAGGCCTTAAAGCGGTCCCTATATAGGTACTTTAAGGCCCATGTATCTATTATATGAGTACATGGACCCTTAGGGAAAGTTCCACTGCCCTTAAGCTCAGGAACAGACCTATGCCTGACCTTCTAAACCCTACTGCAAGCCGCCGAACCCGAAACCCAGAATCCTAAATCCTGAACCCCCAAGCTGCCCCCCTCAACGCCTTAAACTCTATATAAACTGTGTAGTAGCCCGTTGAACACCACAGGGTAGATCTCTAAATTAAGATCCCCTTTAGGGTCCTTTTTATGCGGTTGCAGCGTTCTTTTGGGTTCCTAAGAAAGAACCTCCCCGATCTAGAGAACTACGCTTATAGTACCCCGAAAAGATCCCTTTTAGGAACCCCTAAAGAAACGAAACCTCTATAGATCCCGTGTAAGGAACTCTAAAAAGGGACCCTAATTTTGAAAACTACCCATACAAATCGCGATACAACCCTAAGCCCTAAACCCTAAACCCTTATACCCTAAACCCCAAACCCCTATATCCTAAACCCCTTAAGGTCTAGACCCTAAACCCTTATACATCGCGTTAAGAAGCCCTTTAGAAGGCTCGCCTCGTGGAGCGCCTGCAGCGGCCCTGCGACAGCTCGATGCTGCCGGTTCTTCGGCTCTCGATAAGTTTGGGGTTTTCTGTTGGGTAGTTCTCTAAATTAGGGTCCCTTTTAGGGTCCCTTTTATAAGGGTGCCGTACTAAAAGGGACCCTGATTTAGAGAACTACCCTTTTAGAAGGGCTTGGGGGTTGCAAGTTGTGGTTTAGAAGTCTTAGAGCTTGGGTGCTTGGCTTTCGAAGGATTTGGGGAGATGTTTGGGAGCTGGGTTCTGAGCTTTCTCGTAGTTTGGGATATTGAGGAGTTTCGCAGTTTGAATTTCTCGGCAAGTTTGTGAGGTTTGGCCTTTAGAGTTTGGGCTTGTGTTTGTTCTGTAGTTGTTCGAGTCATGTTTGTATGCGTTTATGAGTTCGGGTGCCGTAAACATCAATCTTGAAATCCCGAAGCCACTTCATCCATCAACCCCAAATCCCGAGCCAAACATAAAACCATACAACTTCTTTAGAACCTGTCAGAACCCAGCCCTTTCAGATCCCTTCAAATCCCAGAACCCCAAACCCCAAGCTCTCCTCAACCCTAAACCCTCAAGCCTCAACCCTAAACCCTAGACAAACATGTACGATACACTCGAGAGTCGAGAGAAGGAGTTGAGCCGATGCCTTTCCGACCTCTGCGTGGCTCGCGGCCGAGGCAGCGCGTTGTCACAGTTGGGGGGGAGGAGGGGGGTGTTTTAAGGATGGTTTTGGGCAGGTATAGGTTTGAGGCGTAGCGGATATTTGAACGGGCTGTATCGGGCTTGATAGGAAGTTCAAGGGGGTCCATTACTTACTCAGGGCTCCTTCAATTAAGGATGGAGCTTTGGGCTCTGGCACCGTTTCTTGCAATCGGGACCTTGAGAGCTTGTGGCTTCTGAGGCCTGTTGCAGAACAAGAGTCCGTAAGTTCGGGCCGAGGGTTCGGAAACCATCGGGCTTGGCATTGTGAGCGTCGACCGCTCCGCCCGAATCCGAGATAGAATGATGCCAAACTCGATCTCAGCGTGTTTGGGGGGGGGGTTCTCACCGATACCATGACGCCTGGGCACCCAACCCTACAGCCCGATACCGTGAACCCCAAACCTTGGAGCCTGAAAGCCGCAAAACCCTAAACCCCAAATCCTAAAGCCCTAAGAGCCGTAAGCCGCACTTCAATCGCCATCGAAAACCGTCATGGACAGGTTCGCCACCGCCACGCCGCCGGTTGCCTCTAGCTGTGGGTGAATATGTGGGCGGCGCTTCGGGCATCAACGAAGAGTTCGCATTCTTTATGGCCTTTAAGGGGTTGATTTTAGATGCAATGCAGGCTGGCTGAAACAAGTAAGTACGGCTCAGGCCAAGGTTTTGGCAGTGTTCTTCTCGGAATTTGCAGGGGTCATGGTTCGCCTGGAGGTTTCGACGGACGGCTGAGGGTGTTGTGGTTCGGCTGCTGATCTTTCGACCTGAGCCCCCGAGATGCTGCTTCATTCTGGCGCCCTAAGCCCCAAGCTTCTAAACCGTTTAGTGGGGACGGAGCTTCCGCAAAGTGCCCGATACAACAGCTGTTTAGGTTTCTGTCCATGGCCATGAGTCCGAAAGATCGCAACGGTCCAACGCCACTTCGTGATTTCGGCCTTGGGCATTTCGGGGGCTCAGATGTTGGACACGTCGTTCTATACGCGAAGGAAAGCACGAGGCTTCGCCGGATTTCCGGCTCCGGACTCGACTGTTAACACAGAGCAAGCCAGCATCGCGACTGAGTAGTCTGCTGATGAGTGCTCAACATTCACAAACTCCCGAAACCCAGCTCTAAATCTTTTTGAATCCCCCAAACCCTGCCCAGAAAACCCTAAGCCCGAAGCCCTACCATCTTACTCAAACCATCCCAAAGCCTGCAAGCCTTCGAAGTGTCGTGAAGATGTCAATGTGGGAGTCAAAGAGTCCAAGGCAACCAGCGCTGGCGCTTTAGATCCGTCCAGGCGCATTCGTATTATGGACTGGGGAACTATTCGTACAGGTTCCCCGGGATTCTGTAGGCCTTGGGGCTTGGGGATTGGTTGAGATGTACGTTTTACGTCCGACGGTTCAGGATCAGGGTTTAGGGTTTAGGGGTTTAGGGTCTAGGGTTTAGGGTGTGTCGGAGTCGTGTCAAGGTTGCAATGCAAAAACGATTGTGTTCTGTCATCCCTACACAGTAGAGGCAATGAAGCTGGCCCCATGGTTCTAGGATTTACGGCTGGGCAATGTCAAATCTCCGTACTTCTTATTGAGATCCCTTTCGGCTGCAATTTAAGCTTGGCCGCTGAGCCAATGCTGTTTTGACGGTTGGCTCCTTCCAGCTTGGTCCCGCCAAGACCCAGAACCAACCCCCTCAAACTGCCTGGGTGCTGCACGTAGCGGAGCCCTCACCAGACTTTAGCCAATCTTCTCTGATGACGCTATGCAACGTCATCCCAGCAACCTAGGGGTTGAGTAGGTAACCTTTAACTCTTAACCTTTTGGGGCTTATATAGTCCTACTATAATTCGAAAGGTTAACCTTTCTTTAGGCCAGGGTAAGGCAAAAAACGGTACTTCTATTCAGGGTTTAGAGAAGGGCTCCCGGACTTCGCGGAAACCCAGACCGTCAAAACGTCAAACTCTAAAGAACACATACGTCCGAAACGATAAGCCCTAGACAGAACGCACATGATCCGAAACCCGCATGCGTAAACTCCCAGACTCCTCTTGTCGACCCGATTCCTTTGCAGGCTCCGCCCCGAGGCGGGGGCGCGAAGCCGCAGACCTGCGAGCGGGTGCCGTGCCCGCCATTTTGCAGGGTTTAGGCCTGTCAGGTGATAGGTTTGGGGTTCAGGCGTTTCTGGTTCAGACGTGTATAGGGAGTTTAGGAAGCGGGTAGCGAGGCTTTTGGGTTTTGGTTTAGGTTTGGGGCCGAGGAGGTAGATTCTTTTGGAGTTTAGCATCTCTGGCAGTCTGGCAGGGCCGCAATGCTGGTGTTGCCCAAATTCATGGACAGCTTCGGCAGCTGGTTGGCTCCGCAGTGATTTCAGGAGACAAGATATTGAAGGTGTAGGGTTGTCGGCCCTTCCAGAGACTTATCGAGCAGTGTACCCTAGCATGTGTTCTTCAGTAGAATGGGTCCTTATTCGAGGGTCTTGGAGTGTCTTGTTGACCTTTCTCTTGTGGAGCGGCAATGAATGTAGGTACGCCGTGGTGTGCGAAAGCCACCACTCGTGGCGGGCATCAGCTGGTGCACAAGCGTTTCTTGAAAGTCCTCTTGGGCTCACATGCAGGGGAACTTGCGTCGAAGATTGACGTCTGGAGCTAGTGTTCTTGGCGTGTGCAACAGTTTTCGGGATCCATGTTCCGCGTGGAGCGAATTGATGTTCACCAGCCACAGCACCAGAATGTTCCCAGAACCACTGTTTTCACAATTTGAGATTTGGGTTTGAGACTGGGCGCTGCCCAAATTGCCTCAAAGGTAGCACTGCCAAACCCCAAGCACCCCACTTCCCTAGCCTACGCTGTCCAGAGGTCATTAGCACAAAACAGCCCCAAGCGCACTAAACCCCAAACCTTATTCCTCAAATCCAAAAGCCTTATAACACCCCATAAACCAGAAAAGCCACGGGTCACTGAAGGCCATGCACCCTTTGACCGCAGCGCGCTGGGACATGAAAAGCAAGAGCGAGTCGGATCTGGACCGCCCTTCTCGACCAAGTACCCTCAACTACTTGGAGGTTCATGGCTAAGAGGTCCATGTACCCAAATAGTATATACTTGGGCCCCAAAGTACCTCTGTAGGGACTACTTTAAGGCCAAAGTAGACACTATTTGGGTACATGGACCCTTAGGGTATGAGTGCGCTAATATGGGTCATATACCTATGCTTATCCTACTTATAGCCATGCTTGGAACTACCCATGAACCTCCAAGTAAGGCCGAAGTGCCCACCATTAGGGGCCTTATAGCCCTCCCCATTGAAGCGGTATATGGAGGCTCCTAGAAGGCTTGGGGCTTTTGAGGTGATTTTTGGGTTATCCTATATTTGGGACTTTCATGAAGACCCTAGAAAAGAGAAAGTTATGGTAGGTGCAAGTAGGATTTCAAGATTTCAAGTTTGTGGTGGCAGCCGACTACCCTCGATTCGGAGGGTGTAGAATTGACGGCGCATGGGGTTTAGGTTGCTTTTTCTAGGAACATTGTCCTTGACTCATATAGTCATACTATGCACAACTCGTCTGCCTCAGTTTGGTATTCCCTCTAGAAAAGCAAGAGTTGTGAGGACTAGGACCTCTTTTGGCGGCCCGTCTCCTGATGTTTACGTGTTGCAGTTGTTTACTGACCAGACTGAACGCTTTTCTGAGTTGAGCCATATAGGAGCCTTATAGCAAAATTCAGGGATGTCCGGTTCCCCGCATCTCATACCGAACTTCAGGGAAGCTTTCATGGGATTCTGGATTGAAACTTGAGAGTTTTGGTTTTCAGGAGTCTCCGAGTAATTATGTGAAAGTGAGCTCAGAGCAGAATCATGAAGATAGCACTGGCGTGTTGATAGGTTGATGGGCGTCACAGCTCGAGTTTCAGGTAATGCTTGAGTTCCCATGTGCCCATCTCGGAAACAGCAACCATTCGTGTGTAGTGTGCCTGGAGCAAGGAGCTCAAGCACTTTGGGTATCAACGAGGGTTGCCACGAATCAAAGGCTGGGCCATGCGATTTTTTCTTGATGTGAGCGGCGAGAATTGCCATTTCGAGAGTTCAAGCTCGTTTCGCCAGTGCAGAGACCACAGCTTTTGTGCAACGCTGCAATTCCGAAGGTGGACAGAATGCTCAGTCACGGTTTGCCGACATAGCACCTCGGCAGCACATGGACAGATCTAGCAGCTAGCAGATCCTTTTCCCGATGTGTGTCGCCTGACTTTTTTTTTGGCTTCATGCGTAGATTGTGTACTTGCGCCTTTCCAGATGCGATGCTCCGTAACGGCATGGAGTGTCTGAGCAAGCGGTGCCGAAGTCTGACAAAGAGATTTGTGCGAATTGCTGTGTCACATTTCGTCACATGGAAGGGCAGCAATAAAGCTTTCATGGGCACCACTGTCAACACGGACAAGTCAACCAAAAAGATGGAGGCTTTGCAGCGCTTGCATAACCACGCGGCATCCTTGGGCGGCGAGTGTTTGGCAAGACAGTATGACAATTCACAGACAAAGGTGCTGTGGAGATGCAAGCACGGACACAAATGGTTTGCTCCTCCTCAGGCTGTGCTTCGAAAATCGGGAAGCTGGTGTCCAGACTGTGCAAGAGATGGCAAGAAGCTCGGCCTGAGCATTTTGCAAGCTCATGCCAGGAGCTTGGGCGGGCAATGCCTGGCAGCCTCCTACGACAATGCAAAGACGAAGGTAAGCTGGCAGTGCAAGCTTGGGCACGAGTGGCAGGCCACTACCAGTAGTGTCCTGCACGCACACAGTTGGTGCCCAGAGTGCGCTCTCGAATCCCGGCGAAGTCCAAGAGGGCCATGTAGAAAGCTCGACTTGCAGGCATTGTGTGAGCACGCCTCTGCACTTGGAGGTACGTGTTTGGCAGGCATGTACAGCAATTCCAAAGAGAAGCTAACTTGGCAGTGCAAGCACGGCCACACTTGGAACGCATCCGCCACCTCCGTGCTGCACGGACGAACTTGGTGTCCACAATGTTCGCCGAATGCACCGCTTGGTCTCGAGGCCTTACAGGACCACGCTGCTGCTTTAGGCGGGTTATGCTTGGCCGACAGGTACACCAACAGATATTCGAAAGTATTGTGGCGATGTCGACATGGTCACGAGTGGCAAGCGATGCCGGCGAGGGTTGTGGTTGACGGGACCTGGTGCCCGCATTGTGCCAAGAACGCACCTGTTCAGCTGGCTCGCCTCCAAGCACATGCCGCATCGCTTGGTGGCCACTGCCTGACAGCAAACTACCGGAATTTGTTTCAAAAGTATGCCTGGAGGTGTAAAGAGGGACACACCTGGATGGCGACTGCTAGCAATGTGCTTCATGGTGGGACCTGGTGTCCTCAGTGCGCGGCCAGCAGCAGCAAATTGCGGGCAGAGCGACAGGTTCGAGGTATTTTCGAGGAACTCTTCTTCCCGGCGAAGTTTAACGCTTCTTTTCCGCGTTTCCTGTCCGGCTTGCAGTTGGATGGGCATTGTGCCGAGATGCATCTGGCTTTTGAGTATCAAGGAGAACAGCACTACGACCCCGACCATTTCTTCCATTCAAGAGATCCGCAAGGCTTTGCAAAGCAGCGCGAAAGAGATGATCGAAAAGCTGAACTTTGCGAGGAGGCTGGCATACGCCTTGTGGTTGTTCCATGTTTCGTCAAGGACAAGAGGAGTTTCATTCAGCTAGCCCTGCTGCGGTGGTTCACAGTCAGGCAGGTAAACCCCATCATGCTGGGATGTGGCGAGACAGCTGGAGCTGCGGTCACAAGTGACATTAGTGAGCGAGAAAAAGCTGGAGCCAACCGATTATCATTGCGTTCAGTGTCGTGATGCCTTGGCTCGTTGCCGTCATGTCCCGGCATATCTTTTTCGGGATATCTATGAACTACATGAAAAACCAGATGCAGCATTCAAGTATGAGACGAATCGTCATCATGAGTACGTCCATCAACTTCTCAAACAGCCGTCTTAGTCTTCGCAGGCCACGACAGCTGACTAGCACGTTTTCGGCATAACTGCACCCCACACAGTCACGAAGGAAACATATTACATGAACACAAGAATGCAGAGATTCGCGCAAGAGTGGAGATGCAAAATTTTACAGACCTCTCTCGATTCTAGACGATGGACTTCTACTGATAGCGCTCAGAGGGTTTGTTTGGCCTTCCACGGATTGTCCCTATCATCCCAACACCCCAATAGCCCTAAGGCCTTCATCTTGCGTCCACTGTCCTCCGACCCGAAATTTTGCATTTTACATCCTGATGAACCTTATATAAACCTATCCCCAAGCTGTAAACTGCAAGCCCAAAAGAAGAGCTGCGAGACTGGTAGCAGGTTGGAACAAGGAGCTGTAAAACAAAAACTCACAAAACCGAGGTCCCACCGCAGTGGCTCGCATTCCAGGGTAACTTCGAGCCTCCGACGAAGCCAAAGGCACAGGCGAGACCGGAGCTGTAGGTTCTGCGGGGCTTGAGGCTTTCAGGGCTTAGATTATTTTAGGGTTTAGACTTGGGGGCTAGGGTTAGGGATTCGGGGTTTGGGGGTTTCAGAAAAGGCAAAACAAAATTTAGGGCGTATGATTCAGGGTTTAGGATCATGGTAGCGATGTTTTTTACCGTACGCATGTGTTGCTAGGTTGCTTGCATCTGATGGTATGTATGTATTGTTGAGTTCCTCAAGTCTACCACGGCAGACCTTTGCCTTCTACTGAAACTTCAAGGTTCGGAATTGGCTGCTGGATCTTGAGTTGATTCCAGGCTTTGCCCGAATGGCTAGGTGCTGCCGTAAATCTGGCCGGTTGGCCTCGTGCTCGCATAAGTCAGAACCGAAGAGTCCGTGCAGGCACTGCAAAATCAAACTCGGAAGCTTGCGACATGCCCGCGCAAACATTTGTAGTGGCAGCTTCTGACCATATCGCTGGGACTGCATGGGCTAACGTTCAAGGGGCTGTGTACCTGCCGTGGTTTGGAGCTGTCTGCACATCAAAGTGCAGCTTCGAACTTGCCGAAGCCCTACCTTAACCCACCAGAACCGACTTTTTTGTAGGGTCTCTATAAATCCCATATTCGGGTTTAAAAGAAGAACCTACCAAAAAGGCGGGTTTTGGTAGGTTAAGGTATGACTCGAATCCGACACCCTACCCAAGCGCCCGGAAGGTGAGCCCTCGCATGAAATCCTCCAAGGCTGAGAGGAAGGCCCGGGAGACTGGGCAAGAAAAGATGTAAGTGTCCATGACAGAAGCTTAGGGTTTAGGTTGAGAGTTTAGGATTTCGGGTTTAGGGCTTATAGAGCTTTGGGATTAGAGTTTAGGCTTATGGTGTACCTATAGTCTCCATTGTAGTTCCTTCTGTTCGGTTTCACCAATTTTATAGCAAGGATCCTAAAAGGTAACCCCAAAAGGGACTACAATGGAGACTATAGGTAGGGTTTAGAGTTTAGGGTTTGGTTGGGAGGCGGAGCTGAGAGACCCAGATCTGCAGCAGTGCAACCACATGGTTCAGTGAGTCGTCAGTCCAGGTCGAGCTGCAGACCATGGACCACATCCGCGTCTTGCACTATGAGGCTCCTTGCATAGAAGTGTTTAGCTACGTGTTCAGGGTCTTCTAGTTCAGCCGGCCAAGTGCATCGGAGCCACTACTTCGGAGGTTCATGGGTAGTTTTAAGTGGAGTTATAAGTCCCCTAATAAAGCTTATAACTATAGTCACCCTACTTATAGCCTTATAGCCCTACTTATATAACTACCTACCCACGAACCTCCAAGTACTGGATCACACGCCCCAAACATCCGAAGACTTCCGGGGCGGCAGGAAGGCCACGGTCCAAGGCTCCAGCAGCACTTGGAGGTTCGTGGGTAGTTATAAGTAGGGTTATAAGTAGGGTAACTATGGTGATAAGCTATATTAGGGGACTCAGAACTCCACTTATAACTACCCATGAACCTCCAAGTAATCCCATAAACCTTTTACCAAACCCTGGACACAAAACCTGCATTCTGTACAGTCCATCAGCTGAGAGCCGCTCCTTCATGAAACCGTGCTCCATCTTAGAAGTAGATATACGAATATTCTGAATAACCAGGATCTAAGGCTTACGTGGTGCCTGGGTTTTGTAGGACATGGTAGGTCGTCAGATCTTGTCAGGACTCTCGGCGAAAAGGCCGTCTCGTGGTCCAGCGCTGGCGCAGCTCATCCCAAACGGATTGTTGGGTTTAGGGTTTAGGGCTTAGGGAATTTCTGCAGATTAGGAGAGATACTATAGGGTATGGGTATTGGTCGAGGCTTGGTGGAATGAACTTCATACCGACCCCGAAGATAGCCAACCGGCCGAGATTCAAGATAACTGCCCAGACAGTTGCTCGCGATTGGAAGCCACTTCTGAAGGAGTGAAAATCGCTAAGTTCTTTGTGACTGCTTGTCGCCTCTCACGACACAGCACCTTCGAGGCTGTTTTCCAAGAGATGCGTAGGGCCCTAGACATGCCTCGCTAGAGAGCCCTGGCACCCATTTCTCTTCCCCTGCTAGGCTCCGCTACTCTGACAACACTCATTTCCCAGCGATGTACGTCTGCAGCGAGACAGCTGAACCGCAACGCCACTATGTATAGCTGTCCTGCAGTACTCTGACCACTCCCCGACACATGGCACAGCAGAAAATTGAAAACCTAAGCCGCAAAGGAAATGGACATGCTGACTTAACAGTCGGAGCCCCAGCTTTTGCAAAATCTCAATGGCTTGACTGGGTACTTAAGGCACTGAGGTGTTGCTGTCGACACTTTCAAGCTTGCAATATGCGTGGATGCTCTGTTGGCCTTGCGACTGCTCTGAACTTCTACTGTAAGCATTGGCCCCATACCTGACGCTGGAGCCGTAGGTCATATTCCTTTGGACTTTGTTGGAGCAACGGAGCTTTCAGAGTTCAGGGCTGTGGAGAACCCGACAAGCCCGAAACACCTCCGAAGCGTTTCTACACCTTCGGCGACTCCCGTCGCTGAGAAAATGTCCTCAGCATTCCGAAGCTCTGACACCTGCAACAGGCCGACAGTATCAAGCCTGGGTGATCAATGAATCCTAGCTAACCATGACATATTCTGCCCAGAACGCTGTGTGACCATTGTTTGAATCAGTTTGAGAGGTGTCAAAGGTGTTGGGCTCCTGACAGAGCTCCGTATGAGCAAAAGCCGATTACGTCTTTTCACCCTATGAAAGCTGTGCAGGCCTGCATTCTTATTGAATTTTTATTTCCACCAACTCGCCTATGGTGTAGATTGCTTGTAATCGAACACTTGTACAATCCAGTAAAAAAGCCCAAGAACCCGTATCAGACTCTGTAAAATTCTTGCCAACAAGAGAGGAAACCCTTGACGCCGAAGCCCTTGCCCTAGACCCCTATAGTCCCTAAAGCCAAACCCCAACCCCCCAAACCACAGACCCGACCCGACATCCTCCAAAACCCTAGTCTAATTATTAAGGCCCTTAAACCCCAAACCATCCTAAACCCACATAGTAGCCTTTAACGAACCCTTTAACGAACCCTTTAAGGAACCCTTTAAAGGAAGCCTTTAAAGGAA